TCACCTGTGAGGATTGAGATAGATCAGTGCTGCATGGAGAATCACAATAGCAGAGGTAGAGATCAAAGAGCCAGGAACAAGGAGTTTCATTTCCATGGGAAGCTGGAACTGGAAGTGGCCCCCAGGGGAGCTGAATACGCTCAAGGCTCTAGTCATGGCACCAGATTTGTAAATTTCCTTCTTGTGGCACAAAAGAGAAATGGAAGAAAAGTAAAGAACTCCTTTACTGCACAGGCTCCTCCTAATGGAGGTGATGTTTCTTCTTTCTTATTAGTATTTTTTTGTTATTTAATGTCATCTGTTGTGATGCTTACACAATCTAGATTCTGGGTTCACAGGGATAAAACTCATGAAAATGCTGCATCTACTGCTAGGTTGCTAAGTGGCTCTACTCCTCTGGGAGGGCCCAGGAGGCAGTGGTGGCTCAGGGTCCTACACAGCATGTGTGAGGTCCCTGTGTCTAGTTTCAGGTGAGAACTCCATGTGAAATCACTTTAATTGAGAGCACATGCGCTCTGTGTAGACTTCCGAGAAGCATGTGTGTGAGCTGCATGGAAGATGGGCTTCATACTGGAGCTTGGGCGCTGCAGTGAATGCAGTCTTAAGCGAGAAATTTATAGCAGTGAATTTCCATGTGAGAAAGACAGAGTAATCTCAAATAAACAACCCAATTTTGAACAACAAACTTCTCCATAAAGAAGAAGTTGACCCCAAAGCATATATGAGGGAGGCAATTGTAAAGATCAGAGCAGAAATTCATGCAAGGGAGAGTCAGTATATCATAGAAAGAACCAGTCCATCAAGACTTGGTTCCTTGAAAGACTAAATAAATACACAATGCTTTAGCCAGCCTTATTTTATAAAAGGAATCAAAAGACTCAAAGCAATATAGTTAGTTTTGAAAAGGGTGAAATTACAATCGATTCTGCAGACATCCAGATATTCCATGTGTACTTTCAGAACCTGACATCTAATAAGTAGTAAAACAGAGGAAATGAACAGATTCCTAGACAAATATTATTTACTAAAGCTAAATCAAAAAGATATAAGCATTCTAAATATTCCAATATCAATCAGTGGAACTGAAGATGAAATTTAAAAAGTACCACAGAGGAAAGCCCATGTCCTTATGGATATACAGCTGAATTTAGTAAGAAATTTAGAAAGAATCTAATACTAGGAGTCCTTAGATTCTTTTTTCATTTTCTTTTCTGTATTTTTTTCAGTAAGGATCTGCAGGGTCTTACTACATAGATTAGCCTCATGGTGAGCCACCTGTGTACAACCTCCCAACAAGCTGGGATTACATGCCCAGTTCAATCATAGTGTCAACACACCCTGGGTATGGATCC